TAATTACACTTTATTCATTTTGTATCCCCCCATAAGCCCCTCCATCCTCCCCTCCTGATCCCACCCTCCCTCCCCTTTCTGCATGCATGCCACTCCCCAAGTCCACTGATAGGGGAGGTTCTCCTCTCCTTTCTGATCTTAGTCTATCAGTTCTCATCAAAAGTGGCTGCATTGTCCTCTACTGTGGCCTGATAAGGCTGCTCAACTTTTTTTTTTTTTTTTTGCATAGTGACCGATTTTTCCCCCAATGGCTGAGAAATTACATAAGCTTAAACTACATAATCTATTCTTCTAAAAAAGTTAATGTGTGTGTGTGTGTGTGTGTGTGTGCATGTGCGTGTGTGTGTGTGTGTGTGCATGTATGCAGATTAAAACGCTTTTGAGTTGTACCAAATTTATAGATTCCCAAATAGGTTTTGGGAACCGATTGCTGATTTTGTCTTTGTTCCTCCAAAGAGTTAAAAGCAGTTGGCGCAAGTCACAGTAACAAAGGCCTGTCTGTGCTGAGATCCTGAAGTTAGATCCAGCCAGGCTGAGTGTTATCTATAGGCGTGCTTCAATCAGTGCAATCCTTTTCTGGCTTGAGAAAATAGCTTTTTTTTTTTTCTTTCCCTATTAAAGGTCATAATCAAGGACTTGGTCGTTTTCAATTTGGTCTTTAGAAGGTCCTTTGTAGGACAAAAAAATATATATCATAAACAGCAAATTGTCTATTTTACCCTGAGAATAAAGCTCTAAGAAAAATACATGAGAACAATGCTTTCTATACAATGAGCCTTCTAAAACTTAATCAATGCTTACTTCTAAAATGTCTGATAGGCTCCTTGCCTGATAAAGCACTGGCTTCTTTCATTTCCTAATATTCTCTAAAGTATTAGTTACACATATGTGAAACATTCCTAGTTTATCGTGAAACCAGAAGTCTAATATTACAAACCTTGAATATGTTATAGACACCTGAGAAAACGGGAACAGTGTGCTGAGTGAGCAGCAGGCCATCTTGGTCCCAGTGTGAATTCTTAGCGAAGGCAGATAAACACTGAATCTCTGCTTTCTTTCTTTCTTTCTTTCTTTCTTTCTTTCTTTCTTTCTTTCTTTCTTTCTTTCAAGAAATTTTAAGTAAAGGTTAACATCAACTAGTCAAATAATAATACCAAGATAAAAAATAACTTCTCAGAATTGCAACAATTTAAAATGATTTGATTAAAAAGATATTTTCAAAATCAAAAAATCATTTCAAATGATCTCAAATTAATTTAAAAATTTAGCTGTTCTTTATGAACTGATTAACAATAATAAGCACTAATGTTTTTAAATTTTAAAATAAAATTCCAAGATTCAACGTTAAATGTATTTTTTCTAACAAAAGAAAAGGCATTCAAGAAAAAAACATATTCATAGGTTGTTTGTGTGTGTGATGTTCATATTTGAACCTGCTACATTTCTTTTTCTTCTGGAGATTTCTCACCTATGTTTCCTATTAGAGAACTCTTTCTCATATGTTACTTGTGATATAATATATGAGAAATTAACAGAAATGTTAAATACTCAAGGCTTACTGATTTTAACTGTAGCAAGTCCAATTTCGATACGACAATACTGTAAAATAAAGTTTTGACAACAAATACGGGTGAGATGGAAATGCATATCATCAAAAGGGTTTCAATATAGGGAGGAGATTTCATGCTTTGATTTTATTTTGACTTATACTTTTAAATATTTACCTTTTAAGTGTTTCTTCCAATTATAAGCAAAGATTTCTGTAGAAATACTGGTTTCTGACTATAAGCAGAAACTATAAGCTTCTGCATTTGTTTAAAACACATGCCTAACCAGTTCAACACAGTGCCATAAAGTGCGGAATAAAAATAAAATAAATAAATGTTCTCAATAACATTAAAAGTAATTAAGCACGACATAAAATAACACATTCTGTCTATGTTTCAATTTAAAATGTCAATTAAATATATCCTCGTGAAGAAATCCATGGTCCCTCTACTTATGAGCATTCAATTTTGGTAAAAAGAAAAAAAGTAAAGAAAGAAGTCAAGAAATGTAACAATGTGTTTCTTTTCTGGTTAATTATGAGTATGTAGAAGTACACAAACAAACATAAACTTTCTTTAATACAGTTCCGCGTGACTTTTTCTTTTTATTATGGGCTTTCTGGACAGAAGGTATTATTAATATCTTTTAAAGACTTCAAGTACCCATGCATTCATACTTAATTAACCAATTCATTTATTTATGAATTCATTTATTGCATGACTTTTGTGACAATGTGAAGCAGCAAGAAACTACATAGGTGACAGTAACTATAAAGTATAGAATGGATATATACAGTTAGATTATTACAAATATTTGACATTAGCAAAAGGCAGATAATGTAACAAGCCAAACTAAATAACTTGTTCAACTCTGGACCTAGTGTTTTGCAAAGCTAGGGGTTCATGACCATGTAAAATCTGAGGAATACATAACAAGAACGATTTTTCCCTGCTGTAAAATAAATTCTATTAAGCTTTAGTGCTGGACTTGGGAAACGTGAAATTTGGGTGCAGTCATGCCTGAATGAGAAATTGCCTTATCAAGGGATAGGGGAAACCGCCATTAAACAGCTAAAAACTTGGTTGGACACAGTTGTCCGGTTTGCTCATCCCTGAAACTGCCTACTTCCAAATTGTCCCTGAACATTCATTATATCGAAGATTTTTTTCTAATGTGGATATGTGCTTATTGTCTTAAAACTTCCTTGAAGCAGGGAACGATTATTAAGCTTCAAATAGTTTTTATGCTTGCAAGTAATTGAGCTGTCACAAAGCTGTGATTAATGATATTTCATGGAAAATTCATGGGGACGAACTAGACATCATTAAAAATACTGAAGAGAGCATTTCTGAATATATAAAATTACATATACTTATGGTTATAGATGAAAAAATAACAAATGACACTTATTTAATAATATAGCTAGTCAAATTTTGCGAGAGAGTTTTTATTAGACCTTACAGTGAGAACTAATGAATGTAGTAGAATAGTAGGGTTTAGAATATATATTTTTTTTCTTTTAATGGGGAAAGATGAGAGAGAGAGAGGGGAGAGGAAGAGACAGGAAAGGTAATGGGAGAGAAAGAAAGAATATATTTGATAAAATGGCAGAATATTTTGTGTGAACGTGTTATACAATTAGAATTCAGGAGGTTGTAATATTAATAATGAAGATGTTCTACGTAAAATTTTAATACAGTTCTCTAACTTATAATTATGATTGTTTTAAGAGTTAAAAATTATACTTTTTCTAATTCATTTTTATTTCAGTTTCCCTTTATGTTGCACTTATAGTTCAAAAGAAATACAGTCATAACATACAATGAAGAAGAGTAAACTAGTTTTTCTTTTATTTACTGAAGTCATCGGATACCTTATTTGAAAGCAATTTTGATTATTAGCAGTTTTTATTTGTATATTTTCAGAATATTTCTGTTTATTTATTTATTTATTTTCTTTAAAAATTATTTATTTTATTAATTACATTTAATTCAATTTTTATCCCAGTTGTAACTCCCTCTGTCAATCCCCTCCCAAACCCACCCTTTCTCCCTCATCTCCTTTCATGCCCCTCCCCAAGTCCACTGATATAGAAGGTCCTCCTCCCCTCTGACCTTAGCCTATCAGGTCTCCACAGGACTGGCTGCATTGTCTTCCTCTGTGGCCTGGTAAGGCTCCCCCCACCCATTCAGGGGAAGGTGATCAAAGAGCCAGCTACTGACTTCATGTCAGACACAGTCCCTTTTTCCAGTACTAGGGAACCCACTTGGATACTGAGCTGCCATGGGCTTCATCTGTGCAGAGGTTCTAGGTTATCTCCATGCATGGTCCTTGATTGGAGTATCAGTCTCAGAAAAGACCTCTGGGCCCAGATTTCTTGATTCTGTTGCTCTTCTTGTGGAGCTCTTTTCCCCTCCAAGTACTTCTATCTTTCCCCTTCTTTCATAAAGTTCCCTGCACTCTGCCCAAAGTTTGGCTATGAGTCTCAGCATCTGCTTTGATACCCTGATGGGTACAGTCTTTCAGAGCCTTAGGTGGTAGGCTCTTGTCTAGTTCCCTGTATTGTCCTTCTTCCTATTTCTGTCCTGTTTGCCTTTCTGAGTGAGGATTGTGATCATTTTACCCAGGGTCCTCCTTCTTGCTTAGGTTCCTTAAGGTGTAAAGATTTTAGGATGTTTGTTCTATATTGTCTAATATCCACTTATAAGTGAATATATACCATGTAGGATAGCATACTAAAATCTGTACACCTAAAGAACCTAAGCAAGAAGGAGGACCTGTGTTAGATGCTCACTCTTCATTCAGAAAAGCAAACGAGATAGATTGGAAGAAAGTGAAAACAAGGAACAAGACAGGAGCCTCCCACAGAGAGCCACTGAAAGTCTCTATCTACCCAGCAGGGTATCAAAGCAGGTGCTGAGACTCATAACCAAAGTTTGTGCAGAGTGCAGGGAATCTTATTAAAGAAGAGGGGGATAGAAAGACTTGGAGTGGCAGGAGCTCCACAAGGAGAGCAACAAAACCAAGAAATCTGGGCACAGGGGTCTTTTTGAGACAGATGCTCCAACCAAGTACCATTCATGGAGATAACCTAGAACACCTACAGAGGTGTAGCCCATGGCTGCTCAGTATACAAGTGGGTAGTCTACTAAGAGGAACAGGAACTGTCTCTGACATGAACTTAGTAGCTGGCTCTTTGATCACTTCCCCCTGATGGAGGAGCAACCTTGCCAGGCCACAGAGTAAGACAATGCAGCCAGTCCTGATGAGACATGATAGGCTAGGGTCAGATGGAAGTGGAGGAGGATCTCCCTTATCAGTGGACTTGGAGAGGGGCATGGGAGGAGAGGAGGGAGGGATGGTGGGATTGGAATGGTATGAGGGAAGGCCTTACAGCTGGGATACAGATTGAATAAACTGTAATTAATAGAATAAAGAAAAATAAAAATTTTAAAAATGTGGAATGCTTCATCAATTTGGGTGTCATCCATGTACAGGGGCCATGCTAATCTTCTTTGTATTTTTAAGTTCTTTATGTTTATACATGTAATGTATATGCATGAACATGCTAATATTAATGCTCATGTAGAAATGAATCTGAAAGCTTCTGCACACCAAACTCTTCATGGTAGAAAGTAGCTTATTAAATCCTCCTCTTAAAGTTTGTATTGCAGAAGTTTTAAATTTCATAAGAAATAAAATTTATCAGTCATGTTCTTTAGTGATATCTGTGCTTCAGGTTATGAACCCCAAATCACCCTTTCTTCCCTTATAATCTTTGTGTCTGTGTGTATGTGTGTGTGTGCAGGTGAATGTGTGTGTGCAGGTGTACGAGTGTGTGAGCATGCATGCACATGTGCATGTAGAAACCAGTGACCTGCCTTGTATGTTTCAGCTCATGATCCATATTCATCTTTTCTGAAACAAACTTTGCAGTTCTCCTTAGACTCACTGATTAGCATAGGATGACAAGCCAGTGAACTCCAGACTCTCCGGTCCCCACCTCCCACGCACTGGAGTTGCAAGTTCTCTTACGTGTTCAGCTTTATTTGTGGGTGCTTGGGATTCAACTCAGGTCCTCATGCTCTGTGGCAAATCGTTTATTTATTTATTTATTTTTGCTTTGCATTTGTTCATTTATTACTGAGATCTATACATTTTAGTGCATCCTACTGCTGTTTAATAATTTCTCATTTTGACCCAAAGAACTATCTTTAGTACCTATGTTAAGGTAGACTTGTGTTCTTCATTTTAAAAGCCCAGTTTTCCTGAATATAGGATTTAAGGAGTTGTTTGTTTGGATTTGTTGTTGTAGAAATAAAATTATTTAGAATCAGTTTGGTTTTTTGGTTTGATATTATCAAGTGATCGCAGGACACTGCACAATGCTTTGTGTGGCAGAGGTCTTTAATTCCTAGGTACTGGAAGTAACTTTTCCAAACTTCGGACAAGCTTTGGTCATGGTAGCAACTTCTTTCTGATGGGTGCCACTGTGTGTATTTAAAATACAGTCTTTATTTTCCCTACATGGTTTACACGAGTCAATACTCAACCACTTTTCCTACTGGCATAGGCAACTCAACTTCCAAGCATTTCCCCTAGATGTGTATGCAAGTCAATACTTAAGCATTTTCTCTAAATACATGTAACAAGTCAATTGTGGATAAAGAGCTTACGGTCACTCTCTGTAAACTTTGACATCTCTCTAACACAACTCTCTCTGCTAGCAGTGGCAAGTAATTTAACAACTGAAATTTTATCTCAACCTCAATACAATGTTTTTAAAATCCGTATGTGTTTGAACAAATTTCTTTTCTGTGAAAACTATAACATACTATGACAACTGTGTTATTGAAAGTATTCTTATGAGTATCAAAATAATAAATACATTAAAAAGATACAATTAAGTTAAAACATGCAAGGAGAAGAGAATTGATAGGGGTGAGAATACTTTTCTTTTACTGTGTTAAAGGTGTTAGAGGAACTGTGACAATTTAGAATGTATTTCCCAAGGCCATGTAGGGAGAAGAAGATCCGAGAAGCCTGACCCCACTGGTGGTTAAATTTCCCTGATCAGGACATGCCCTGAAAGGCTATCTCCTATTTGCAATTACTAAAGGAAGGAATGATAAGGCTTCCTCATCTTCCATGTAGTACATATTGTTGTTTTCTGAACAAAAAGAGAAGGAAGAGAATATCATCTGAAGCTGTAATGTTTAGCTAGTCAGAGTGTGAATGTGTACCCCAAAACTTCTCTCACAAGAATGGTTAACCACATACCTCAAGACACTCATTTACAAGTGTCTCTGTGTGTTATTTTCTGGAAATGCAAACTCAGGTGTCTCCTGGAACAAAGAATTTTGTCTGAAGACAATATGACTTTTAAAGCATCTGAACAACTCAAAGTAGGGTGCGCCTCTAAAGTTGGAGTTGGCAGAAAAAATTCTACAAGTAAAGCTATATATTATGTTATGTATTGTGTTCTTCAAACTGTTATTTTGCTATAGTTACTCCATTAAGAAATTCAGACAAGTCCCTCCAGAGACTGAGACTCCAACCAAGGACGATGCATGGAGAGCACCTAAAACTCCTGCTCAGATGTAGCCCCTTGGCAGCTCAGTCTCCATGTGGGTTTCCCTAGTAAGGGGAGCAGGGGCAGTCTCTGACATGAACTCTCATACCTGCTTTTTGATCACCTCCCCCTGGGGGGTGCAGCCTATTCAGGCCACAGAGGAAGACAATGCAGCCAGTCCTGATAGGCTAGGGTCAGATAGAAGAGAGTATTAGTGGACTAGTGGGAGAAGAAGCAGGGAGGGTGGGATTGGGAAGAGATAAGGGAAGGGGCCACAGCAGGTACACAAAGTAAATGAATTTTAGGAAATAATAATAATTAATAAAAAGAAAAAAAACAATAAAAGAGAAATTTAGACAAACTAGAAATTATATTCAAGCAGCATGAGACCAGAAAAGGCAATGAGAAATTTTAGAAAGAGTTCAAAGGATTTTTAGAAATTATATGAATGGAACAATTAATATAAATGGGATGATTGTATCATAGTATATCACGGTTCTCAGATGCTAGGCAACACAACATAGAGAATGAGAACACAGCATAGAAAAATAAAGATAGACTATGTGGGAGAGAAAATGATAGAATAGGAACACAAAAGGATATTATCTATCATAATTTTAAAGGAAATAAGAGTTTGGTACTTATATATGAACTGAAAATAACTCAGTGTAATCTACATTTAAAATGGCAAAGAATGTAGTAATCAGACTTTACTTAATATGTAAAGATCATGCTGTAGATCATGAAAGACATGGAGATGTTGAAAGAAATTATGGATAATAAATAAACTCCCAAGAAGCAAATTAGACAAATAATATCTTTTTTCATTAATTACAGTTTATTTACTCTGTATCCCAGCAGTAGCCACTATCTGCCCACTCCCTCTCTCTTCTCCTCCCACATCCACTCACCCAGTCCACTGATAGGGGAGGTCCTCCTCCCCTTCCATCTGATCCTAGAATATCAGGTCTCATCAGGACTGGTTGCATTGTCTTCCTCTGTGGCCTGTTAAGGCTGCTCTTCTCTCAAGGGGAGGTGATCAAAGACCAGGTCACTGAGTTCATGTCAAAGACTGTCCCTGTTCCCCTTACTAGGGAACCCACTTGGATACTGAACTGCCATGGGCTACACCTGTCCAGAGGTTCTAGGTTATCTGCATGAATAGTCCTTGGTTGGAGTATCAGTTTCAGAAAAGACAGCTGGTCCCAGATATTTTTTTCTCTCCTTGTGAAGCTCCTGTCCCTTCCAGGTCTTTCTATCTCCTCCCTCTTTCATAAGATTCCCTGCACTCTGCTCAAAGTTTGGTGATGAGTCTCAGCATCTGCTTTGATACACTGCTGGACAGAATCTTTCAGGGGCCCGCTGTTGTAGGCTCCTGTCTTATTCCCTCTTTTCACCTTCTTCCAATATCTATCCCATTTGCCTTTCTGAATGTGATTGAGTATCTTAACCATGGTCCTCTTTATTACTTAGCTTCTTTAGGTGTACAGATTTTAGTATGTCTATCCTATATTATATGTCTAATATCCACTTATAAGTGAGTATATACCATCTGTGTCCTTCTGCTTCTGAGATACCTCACTCAGGATGATCTTTTCTAGTTCCCACCATTTGCCTGCAATTTCATGATTTCCTTGTTTTTAATTGCTGAGTAGTTTTGCATTGTGTAAATGTACCATAATCTGAATTATTCCTCATTTGAGGGAACATCTGGGTTATTTCCACATTCTGGCTATCACAAATAAAGCTGCTACGAACATGATTGAGCAAATGTCCCTGTTGTATACTTGAGCATATTTTGGATACATGCATCAGAGTGGTATAGGTGGATCTATCCATAGTGGTAGAGGTAGTGCTATTCCTAATTGTCTGAGAAAGCACCAGATTGATTTCCAAAGTGGTTGCACAAGTTTATATTCCCACCAGCAGTGGAGGAGTGTTCTCCTTTCTCCACAACCTCTCCAACATGTCTTGTCACTTGAGTTTTTGATCTTAGCCTTTCTGATGGGTGTAATGTGAAATCTCAGGGTTGTTTTGATTTGCATTTCCCTGATATCTAAAAGTATTGAGCATTTCTTTAAGCGTTTCTCTGCCATTCAATATTCCTCTATTGAGAATTTGCTGTTCATCTCTGTTCCCCATTTTTTAATGGGATTACTTGATTTGTTATTTTTTACCTTTGTAAGATTTTTATTCATACTGGATATTAGTCCTCTGTCAGATATAGGGTTGGTGAAGATCCTTTCCCAGTCTTTAGCCTGTTGTTTTGTTCTGAAGATAGCATCCATTGCTTTACAGAAACTTTTCAGTTTTATGAGGTCCCATTTATTGATCGTTGATCTTAGGGTCTGTGCTATTGTTATTCTGTTCAGGAAGTTGTCTCCTGTGCCAATGAGTTAAAGGCTCTTTCCCACTTTTTCTTCTAACAGGTTTAGTGTTTCTGGTTTTATATTGAAGTCTTTGATCTACTTGGACTTACATTTGTGCCTGATGATAAGTATGGAAATATTTGCATTTTTCTACATGTACACATCCAGTTAGACCAGCAGCATTTGTTGAAGATGCTGTCTTTTTTCCATTGTATGGTTTTGCCATCTTTGTAAAAAATAAGGTGCCCATAAGAGTGCGGGTGTATTTCTGGGTCTTCTATTAGATTCTTTCGATCTATCAGCCTGTTTCTATGACAGTACCATGCAGTTTTTATTACTGTTGCTCTATAGTCAGCTTGAGATCAGAGATGGAAATACCTCCACAAGATCTTTTATTGTAGAAGATTGTTTTTATTGATTCTGGATTTCTTTTATTCCATATGAAGTTGAGAATTTTTCTTTCAAGTTCTGTAAAGAACTGTGTTGGTAATTTGATGGAAATTGAGTTGAATCTGTAGATTGCTTTTGGTAAAATGGCCATTTTTACTATGTTTATCCTGCCAAGCCTTGAGCATGGGAGATTTTTCCATCTTCTGATAACTTCTTCTTTTTCT